GAAGGGAAAGACATGTGGGCTCATTCCTTTAGCAAATGAGGTGGCTAACACTCAAAGTTATGTCTACCATTAGTGGCTGGGATGCTAGTAAGTATGAATGTATCTTTAACCTTCCAACAACAAACATGGTGGAAATGGGCACTTCCAGAAATCCTTGTGGGGAATTATAGGCTCTCTTAAAATGAGCTGAGGGGAGAGAAATAAAACTGTGCTTGAAGAATCGACACAAAGAAAACCAAATGAACCCATAGTCTACTGAAAATACACTTGCTGGTCCCCATGTTGGATGCAACCAAAGGATGCCACCAGTACCCAAAAGAATTTTCTCACCACTCTGGAGGTGGTGCCCTCCTACAGGCTCTGAAAACAGCCTGCCTGGGCCTTTGGAGTCAGCAGCTGTGCTCCTGACACTCACAGCTCTGTTTAGATTGCAGGAGGAATACTGAGAACTATATTTGGTATTCAGTGTTTCCTTATTAATGGAGTAGCCTAGATGGCCACAACTCTACACAACCGTACTACTACTGTTTCCTGATCTACTGATAGTATTCATACTTTCTTTCATTTCCAGGATCCTCCAGCACCAATTCCTGTGTGCTTCATCATCCTCCTGTCTCTCTCTTTCTTCACTTTTTTGATCCCAGAACTCCAGCTTCTCCTTATGCAAGTGAGAGCAAAATTATAAAAACAAGATATTTGTTTCTATCTAAACTCTGTTTTCAAAGATAATATTCATTGCTTCAGTGCAAAACAAACCAACCAAACAAATAAAAAAACCAACCACCTTTAATACTGTAAACCTTTTAAAATAGTTCAGCGCCTGACTCTGAATCTATTTTCATTTAAACTTAGGCTATGCGCATAGGGGTGGAGTAGTGTTCTTGTACACAGAGTCTGTAGCATAAACAAAGAGAAACCAACACCAGTGGGACAAGCACAAACCACAGCACAGTCCAAAGTAACTCTGCTTCGTACTCCATTTTGTAATCCTTAACTTTTTGTCTTTTATCTTGTTTCTAAATTCACTTATTCAGTCTACAAGTGCTTACACTTTTCATAGCTTTCCACATGGAAGATGTGACTGAAATTTGGGAGCTGAGGCACTGATCCTTTGACACTTAACATTGGGTATTGAAGAGGTCCCCAGGATCTGCAAAAAGTGCATGTTTTTACAGGACTGTGACCCTAAAATGTAGGAGCTTCAGCATAGGGCATGTGTTCCATTTGTTTTGAAAATGCTATGGTGTTGTGCAGTTAAATAGAAGTGATGTGTGATAGTGGTCATAGCATTGCTATTCATGAAGTAATCGTGGTCATATTTTCCTTAGAAAGTTGTATTTAACCAGTACCCCTCATTACATTGTGCTGTAACTTCTGATTGTGTTCTCAAGATGATATCCCACGTAAGAAGCGTTCAGAGCCTTTTTTCATTCTTTACATAGTGGCAGTGAATTTTGGCAACTCTAAAGAGGCAGAACCGGTACCTAGAAAGCATTAGAAAGGCCAGCACTACCTATACAGACATGCCATTGCATGAAGGCCTGGGCTGTCTTTGTTCTGTAAGTTATGAGCTCATGTGTCAACATGGGAAAACAGATGTTTAAATGAAAAAAATAAAGAAAATGCAGAATGAGGAATACATCCAAGTTCCTTTGGCATTTGTTCAGGTGTTTCATGGACTGAGCTAATGGTAATCCTGTGGACTGGCTGATTATCATTGGAGACAGATGGTCTTGTTGTAACTGTAAAAAGAAAAAAACAGTCTTACTCTATGCATACATCTTTAATTCACAGCTGTGCTTAATTAAAATAGTCTTTCGCTGTTTATTGTGAGAAGAAGTTAATTGACAGAATGCACTTAATCATTTTCTGTGGAAGAAAAAGTTGTGTCATCACATTAATAGAAAACGATCAGATCTCTTCTTTTTCACTATCAGGACAAAAGGCCTGACTTGGGCTCTGCTCCTCAGATGGTCCTCTGCAAACCAGCAGCTCCTCCTGAACATTCAGTGCAGACATTATGCTCAGTCTTAAAAGCTCTGTAAAATCATTTCATATTTTGTCCATTGATGAACCCCTTCCAGACCCAGCTTTTACTTACTCTTGAAGGAAGAGTTGCCATGATTATTTTTTTGCTTCAAGAGATGCATCCTTTTGTCACCTTCTTTTCCTCCAGCTGATCCTGTGTTACTAGCTCCTAGTAACTTCATAGCCCATGGTGCGACGTGCCATGTCTCTGTCTATGAATCCAACGTATCCCTAAAGAGTCAATTTTAATAGGCATGGTATTTTCTTATTATCTTCCCATGGACTATTTTTCTTTTGTTGCCTGAAGCTGCTATCTTGTAGGATGATTCACATATTTGCTTTCACTGACTGGAATGTAAAGTATTCGGTTAGATACCAAATATTACTTTTTCTTCTCTTGCTCTCAGTTATAAAGAGCAAACAGAACTTTCTATCTCAAGGAATCACTTTTATTGTGACTTTGGGACCCCATTTTGCCAGTTCCTGGTCCTCCTACACTTCTCTCAAACAACATTCAGGTAGTATCTCTCTATGTTCCATGGAATATTTTGATAGAAATTTATATTAAAGCCATCACTTAGATTTCAGTCTTTAGACTGTAGAGTTTAGTGCTGCAAACATTGCTGAGTTTTTTGAAAGCTGTGAATCTGCCTGCTGCAAAGGATTGTTAATTGCCTGTGCTATCTTAAAGTTTATGCTGAGGAATTGCTTATGTACATTTACCAAATGTAATAATAGAATAATCTGATAAGGCCTCTCTCGCTGAACTGTTTGCCAAAAGATGTGTTTATAGTATTACTTCAACATTCTTTCATTTTATTAATTCATTACTAAGTCATTTTTACCCAATACAATTCATCTTGACCTTAAAATGAAATGGAAACAAATGGTGCCAGAAATAAAAGTCAACAAGGGAAGGATGATACATGGCTTTCATCCATTTGTCCAGAGAAACAAGATTAAGGGCTAGGTCTTCAGCTGTGCTAAAGATGTGCTCAGCCCAGCTGAGAGGGGTGGGGGAGCGTGGTTGTGAGCTGCCTTGTCTCTTCTTCCTGGGAAAATACAGTTTCCAGACAAACTGGGAGTTAACACTTATTAGACCAGCCCTGCACCTTCCCACACCACCATGCCTACTAGAAACACACTGGTCTTGCAGCTTTCTAATTTCTTCTTTTTGGTTTGTGTCTGCAGCTTGAGAACATCCCTTTCATTTTTGCCAGCATCTGACCAGCTTCATCTCCTGGCAGCTGTCAATGCCAAGATGGCCCTTCTCTGGATCTGGGGCAGAAAGCCAGAAGCTGGCAAAGATTTGGTTTAAAATGAGAGTAATGATAACTGATTTACCAGCTACATCTAAATTGTCTTCAGGGCCATGTCCACAAGGTCTCTTCCTCTCTGTCTGCCCAAAGCCTTTTAGAGAATTGTTCCCAGCTGGTATACAACTGTTTTAAAACTTGGTACTTGTTATCCTTGAGCACAGTGGTTCTTATCAATAGGTATTTGTGATGAACAGCCCAATGCCATCACCCAGAAAGCATCTGAATTCACATTGCAGTTTCTATTTGGAGAGGTGGCAGCGATAAATGTTGGAGCACCTTTCCTATGAGAAAAGGCTGTGGGAGCCAGACTTGTTTAGCCTAGAGAAGAGAAGGCTCTGGGGAGAATTCAGTGTGTTCTTCTAATACTAGAAGAGAGCTTATAAGCAGGAGGGAGACTGATAATTTACATGGGCAGATAGTGATAGAACAAGAAGGAATGGTTTTAAGCAAAAAGAGGGGAGTTTTAGGTTAGATAATAGGAGGAAATGTTTTATTCAGAGGGCGGTAGTACTTGCTGCCCAGGGAAGCTGTGGATGTCCCATCCCTGGAGGCATTCAAGGCCAGGGTGGATGGGGTCCTGGGCACTGATCAAGTGGGAGGTGTCTCTGCCCACGGAAGGGTGGGTTGGAACTCCTTGGGGTTCTTTTCAATCCATTCTATGATTCTATGATTAGAAAACCAGACAGGATTGGGCAATCTAGTCAGTCAGGATGTGTGCTGGGTGGAAGCCTTCTTTCAGTTCAAACCTGGAGTGTAGTTCCTTCAGAATATCTGGAATGGTGAACTAATAAATGTCAAAGTTGCAAAAAATCTCCGCTTCACCCTCCTACCAGGGAATAAAGGCTGGCCAACAGGGAGCTCCAGCCTGCTGGGAGAGAAGATGTTCCTCTTCTGTTGCCATAGATAATCCAGCACACAAAGACTGTATTGAGGATGTGATTAGTTCTTAAGTGCTCAACGATGTAAAGCACTGAAAAGCTACTCAAACACCAGTGTGAAAGGATTTATTCCCAGATGGCAGAGAATGAAGAAATAAAGTGCTAATCATCATCTAAGGATGAAATCCATCTTATCTCAAGAAGAAAAAGTAAAGAGCTTTATGGAAAATGCCCTCGTGTGACAAGGCTATGGGATTCAAAAGAAAGCTGTGGATTTCTCTATGCTACTTACTCTCAGCTCTTCCTTTTCTAAAGTGGAATTGTACAGTTTCAGCTACTCCTGGAGACTCTCTGGCCACAGGATGAATAGGAGTTGTGTTTCAATCTAAATGATCTCATATAATAAACTACTAAAAGCTGGTTTTAATAAAAGAATTAGAGAGAAAGAGGCTGCTGACAGACAACTTGATGAACCTTCTCAAATTTCTTTTACAATATTGATTTGGTTCCAGTTTCTCATTTACAACATTTACTTCTTGTATACATAAACTATTTCTGAAATAGTTGAAGTCTCCCAGTTAGCCACACAACTCAAATGCAAATTCCAGAGCTCTGTTTTCAGCAAGAACATTGTAGTAGATAGAAAAAAACAGTGATGTCAGAGATTTAATATGACAAGAAGGAACAGCACACAAATAAAGTTTGAAGAACTTTGGCAAGACTGCAGTTAGTAGTACCACCAAAGAAGCCAGCCCCGTACATAAAACAGAAGCAATTAGAGCTGTTGGATCTGGTTTATTGACACTAGAGATATGCATCACCTGTGAGCATGAAGAAGTGGATATACATAAGATAGGCAACCTTTCCATGATAAATAGAGAAGAAGATCTTCAAAGAAAATGTAAAAAAGGATAAGCAGGAGATGGTTTTTTTTTTTTTTCCTTGGTAGGTAGGTTATTGTCCTTCCAATCTTTGGCGATCAAAATTCAGACAACTGCAGTGTAAGTGGCAAAGGCACCTGAAGGCATCTCTCTGTAACAGGACATCACTCAAGGAATGTGTTTCTGCTCTTTCTAGGGCATCGTGGCATATTTAATTTTTAATAGTGAGCTGTGGGTGAGACAAAGAGAGAGAATCAGAACTACCTTCAGTGTTCAAGGGTAATATTTATTTTTAATTAACAAATGCTATTTATTAAAGTAGCTGGTAATGGGATTCAGATTGATAATAAAGCTGGAATAATATTCAGTTTTATATTTTTTATATATATATAAATAAAAATATATATATTATAAAATATATAAAAATAAATAAATAAAATAAATACATATATAAAAATAAATATATAAAAATATAAATATATATATATATTCCAGTTTTTATATTGACTGGAAATTGGGAAAGGCATCTGTGCAAGATCAATTTGCAGCTAGATCTTAATTATGGACCGTGAGTGCTAACCTTTCCGTGTTCTACTTCAGTGTTAAAATGGAGTGTTATTTCCCAAACACTTCAAATGGGGTAACAGAGCTGCAAATGAAATTAGCAATGTTCTTATATAATCTCATTGAATGATACCTCAGAGATTTCAAGGAAGATGCTTGGAAACTGTTCCATTATTGTCTACATATACATGTTAATTGAACTTTTATTTGCTTAGAAAACAAAACGAAAAACGGTGGCTTAAGATAAAGGATCAAATTAACTACTCCCCTGAGGAAGATTTTTCCTTAAGCAACTTTATTAAGCCTAGAAATAACAGCATTTTTGACAAGCTAATGTCAAAAAAAGGCACACAGAGACAGATTCCTGAGGCACAGGAGCATGGAGAGCTGACATGCTGGAGGAGTACTGTGGTATTGGTATTGGCAGTGTTGTAGTCCCATAGATTCAGTGATACTAAAATTTAATAAAAATACTTTTTTTCCCCCTGTGAAGTTATTATCTGTCCACTCAAGAGCATGTTTTACTCTCACAGTCCTTGGGATGACAATAGCAGCAGTTAATTAACAAACCATCAGCATGAATAAAGTATTTCTGTCCAAACAACAGCCATTCGTTTCATGGCTTTTACAACATCCTATGAGCCAACTTCATAATCTACAGGGGTTGCACCAGGACTAGAGCTTGGTCTTGTGTTTTCCACTTTTTCAGTTGGCTGCCAAGCAGTAGGCAGCAGGCAGTAAGCACTGCAGAATGGACACAGCAGTTGTGGATCCAACTCAACTGGCGGTGCGTGTGCGGAACTCCCACAGTTGTTGGAAACTTGACCTGACTGGAGTGGTCTATGTAACCTCTCCCAGCTACAGAAGTGGAATTTTAGCTTTAAGCCACCTTGGAAAGAAAACAAAACCTACACCAACCAAAGAACAACCTAAGAAGAATAATTGTATGCTAGCAACAAACTGGTCACAGGAGAATTTCTTGCATAGAATAGATGCAGTCTTTGGAATCTCATTGTTCCAAATCTGCTCTCCACAATGGATGCAGTTAAAGCAAAAACCTTCAACAGTATTTCAGAAAATCTATGGGTTTCTTCTCTCCACTTGATATTTTGAGACTGAGAAAGTGGGGAGCAGTTGCTGGAAATTTGGAATGGCATGGCCGTAAGACACTGAGTAAGCGGGTTCATCTACACAGCAAAGAACAAATCCATAAGAGATACGCATCTGTGTGCTGAAAGCAGAGGGCATGTCAGCGTGGCACTGCACTTGTGCAGCTACTGTGCCCTGGCTCCGAGCTAGGTCACTGCCACTGGCACAAGGCATCTCGCTCTGCAGAGCAGAGTAGACATAAACCTGAGAGCACAGCAGAACTCCTGACCAGATTTTTATGACCATGGGCTGATGTTCAGGAAAACACTCTAAAGGAAACTTCAGGTTCTGTTTCAGCAACACTGGAGACAAATATTTTGCTTGACCCAAAAGGTGTCTTGGGCACTACCTTTCCATATAGAAAAAAAACCCTCACAAATTAAGAGGAGATAAGTATGCTGAACTGATTAAAAAAAACCAAAACAACAAACCAACCAACAAATTGTGGCTTCATATTTTGGGTTTGAGTCCTACATTTTTTTTTGTTGGTTTAATACATCAATTAGATGAGGGTTAAGAGGTTCTTACTGGAACTGCTGAATATCTTGTGTTACAGCTCTGGAAAAGTTCCTTGTTTGTTTGCCACTGTTTCCAGCTCAATATTATGGTGTGACAGATGGATTCAATAACAGAAGTTGGCAATCAAGAGATGTGAACCATGGAGTGTGGGGGACTTAACTGTTACCATGGCTTGTGAGGGACGATATTATTTCTTACACATCAGTAGCTTTTCTAGGGGGCAGGAATTGGTTACCTGGCTTAAAAGATGCACCTCTATTTTTTCTGGCCTCACTGTTCTTGGGAGTGATTTACCTTCTCAGTCCCCTTGGAAGCTGGAGAATGGCTATAGGTTTACAGCTTAATCTTCTGGTCACTCATCTCAGTGTGTGGGAGAAGGATGAGGGGGGGAGGCATCCCATCCCGTCCAGTGTGCAAGCTGCTTCTACCTAATGCTCTTGTGTCATGATTGTTCAGTCATCCTGGGCCTGACCTCCATTGCATGCTTCTGGATGAATTTAGGCCTTTCTCTTCCCTGGCTGGAAGCTTATAGCTGCTGGTGACGTCAGCCTGTATGTGCTCTCTGTTCTTGTGAATTGCCTGAACTGTTCCAGCCTCAGCTGCAAAAGAAGTCAAATCTTCAGGACTGTACCTGTATGAACCCAGCACTCCCAGCACCGCCTGGGACTCTGCAGCTGCAGTGGGGAAACAGCTCAGGGCTCCAGCTGGTCTGTGTTCCACATCTCTGAGCCATCACAGGACTAGAATAAGAGGATGTTTTTAAGGCACTTGTCTCTAAAAATAATATTGTTTCCTTAACAAACCAGAATCAGTTTACTGAACTCTCATGTACTTTCTGTGCAGGACAAGATCAAGAAATGTGTTTTCATGTATCACCTACTTTTTCTTACCAAAGAGGGCATTTTAGTTCTTCAGCTTCATTCTGTGTCACCCGAGAAGCTGTTACCACCTCAGCAGTGTGCAGCCCCCAGGAGCAGAACTAAAACAACATTTATTTTCTTTAGAAAGAGTAGCTGCTGAGGCTACTTTAAAGAAAATAGTCTCTGAAGTTGTGGAAGGGAAAGGTCAACATCTAATTTAGATGAGCTTGTGATCCTTATAGAAGCCTGTTTCTGTTCCATACTCTTTTATTTTCAGCCAAATTTGATGCAGTTACAAAGACCCTGCAGAAACACTCTTGCTATTTGTTGTTGTTGAGATACTGACTATCGAACTGTTCCTTTTGACTTTGACGTGAACAAGCAAAAATTTCAGCTAGCACAGCAAACTCTCTGTGTGAAGCTCATCTGATCTGTGCTGTGCTGCTGCATGTTATGTGATGTGATTATCAAAAATCTGCAGAACCACTGAGCACTGATTCACTGTTGACTAGGAATAATATGTACAAAAACAGTACAAAGACATTCCAGGCTCTGCGAATTGATTCCTCTTATTACAGTGCGGATGCAGACTGCTTAGAGGATAGCATTCTTCTAACAGTCAGCTCTCCCTTTTACATGAGTTATCTCATCTGCAGGTTACATATGCCAGTACAGAGGTACCTTGGCTGGCTCCTTGCTCTGTGAAGCCACAGTGTGATTAGGATGGCAGCATGCATCTCACGTGCCTGGTGCTGGTACTGATCTTGCAAGCCTTGCAAGCTGAGCCTTGGACTGCAGTGAGAACTGACTATGTCATCATGTAAAGGCGGTCAAACCATTAAGGACTGTATGTAAAGAGTGTTATCATAGAAGTCTAGAAATTCTGGACACAGCATTTGCATGAACAGTTCTGCAGTCTGGTGTCCTGAGTAAACTCACTGGGCTTGTATATAGTGACCCTCGCATCCCCTGTAGTGAGTCTGATGTCACCATACCTGAGCTATGAGTCCTGGAGGTCCTGCATGTGCAAAGCAGATCCGCTGTACCCAATGTGTTAAGTTTTGATGAATACAGAGATCAACAGGACATTGGGCCTGAAGTAGATGTTATATTTATTTAACATAGTTTCAGTGGGCACTTGCCATCAAATAGTAGTTTATACTTTTTCCTGAGTTCCATTCCATCTTCAAACCAGTTAATAATATTTCTCTTGTGAAATATGATGATATTAGTATCCACTTGTATAAGCCCATATTCTTTAGAAGAGGTGAAGAAAGAGAGGTATTATTTGGAGGGAGGATAACTCGGGCATCAGCCCAGGATAGGTGCCCAAAACATCTTGAAAGTCCAGTGCTGGACTTGGAATCCAAAGTCACAAAGGCATGTGTATATATATGCCCATAGGAGAGACAGAATCATGCTGCTCTCCAGAAGCACGCAGAGAGCTTCTAAATGACACACAGGAAGTCAAGTGATAGGAGGACTCAGGTGTACTTTCACAGCTTAACTTGGTCACTTGTACTGGGAGAAGACATGGAAAGCAGATGAGTCAGGCTGCTCTACTCTACCAGATTTTCTGGAACTAGAAAAGTATTTTTAAGTTAGAAAATCTTCAGGCCACATTTGCTAGATGGAGGCATTAAAGCCATCATTTCTTCAATTTTCTTGCTCATGGCTCTTTCCTGAAAGCACTGACCCCTTTATTCATTAACTTGTTCACCACTGATCGAGTGGTCATAACTGGCTGGTTGCTTCATTCCATTGCCACAGCCTCTTCTGCAGACGTCTTGCTGTAGGAGTCTGGATTTACCCTGGAAGAAACTGGCTAAGAGCTAGCATGAATTTAAATGTGTATTCCTTGAGATGCAGTGAAACAGCACGCAAAAAATTAAAAGCACTTTCACATAAGCTGTAGCAATATCAGCTGCTAACATTCCAGAACCCTTCACTTCTCCAGTCAAAGGTGCCTGCTTAAATTGCTAATTAGCTTTCTCTTGTTATAATTTTTCTGACTTAAAAACTCTGCATGAAAGCATTTTTCAGGCCTGTACTAGTTGCCATAGCATCCATCACTGCACGCTCCTGCTTGTCTTCTGCCCATTTCATTATCAACTATAGCCATAATGTTCTGACAAAAAGAATAGTTTTGAATGAAACACAGAATACAAAATAAGAAGGCCTTAATAAAGGCTCAAATAAATCCCTTATCTGGCAGCATACTGAAAGTATCTTGATTCCTGGCACAGCAAGTATGCTGTGGAGTTCACTCTTCATTAAAAAGCACAGGCAACCACAGTACCAGGATGTGGGCAGTCTTAAAGTCTAATGTGTACATTTATGCAGATACAGTCTTCTGGGAACCAGCTTGTTTTAATCATAAAAGAACCCTTCAAGTAAATTTAATGAGGAGTTAGTTGAGGAATTTATTCTGAAACTTTAAACTATGTGTAAATTCCTGAGGATCAAATTAAGTTGAAGGTAAATAATATTCAGAATGGTGTTTCAGTCAAGGCTGCCTAAAAGCTGGAGACACAAAGATCCTGCTAAGAGAACATTTCTTTTCCAGTTAGAGACTTCTTTAAGGAGCCCAGACAGATGCCATATGCTGATGGTACAACAACATCTTTCACAATGTGACATTTGGAGCCTGCTCAAGAGATCAGTCATTTTTGTCTTTTCTAAGGTTGCCACCTTTAAAATAAATGCCAAACAGTTATGAACTAGAAAAAGAGTAATTGCCGATAGTTATAGGTGTCATCAGTGATGAAACATCCCTAAGCAGATGTTTTGCTTTACATGCAGGGAAGTTCGGGATAAAAAATCCACAACACTGTGCAAAGGACAGCTGTGTCAAGGATGCTTTGAAAAATATTTTCTCATGGATTGTGATAATTTGCCTTCTTGAAGACAGGAGGATCTTGCTTAGAGCTCTTCTTGTCTCGATGAAGTGGTGCTTGATTTCCATTCTTTGTACATTTGAAAAGAATGGTGAACTTGAGATATTTGTTTAATAATTTATTTATTGGGTCCCTTTATTTCTTGGATGATCTGAAGTATAATTAGAGGTATGCTAGTGGAAAAAACACACACGCGTGCTTTCACGTGAGCACAATACCTTTTGTTTGCCTCTCATTTTTCTGCATGTGGTGGATTATTCCCCTGGATGGCATTAGCAATATACATTGCCTGGTGTTTCCCAGCTGGACATTGTTATTTAAAGCACAATTTTAAAACAAATAAATACTTCCTAGTTGTGTCATGAATGCAGGATACAGATTTTATGCATATCTGATTGGAAAATATATGGAATATATATGGTCTTAGTCCTATCTTTTCATGAGTATTTTTGCAGTGTTCAGAAGCTTCTCAAACATATTAGAGGGGAAAAAAAAAGAAAAAAAAAGAAAAAAAAGAAAGATGCCTCCAACCTCCAAATAAAGATCTTTCAAACACACCAGGGTAAGCAGTGTGGGAAAGAAGAACCACAGAAGGAGAAAGCGTTGGCTCAAGCAGATGTTCGTGTTGTGATCCCGTGGAAAATAGTCTGAATAATTATTTCCTTTATTTTGTCTGGAATCTTGCAAATTCTTATACAGGTAAGCAATTTTATATGCGTGAGTAGTTCCAATTCAAGACACAAATCTGTTACGAAAGGATAATACAGATATAAGTCTATAAGATTGCCACCTTAAACTGCATGAACTTGTTTTTGTTTTGTGTGTCACTTCACATACTAGTGAGCAACAATAAAAAATCTTTAAGGAAAAATATGAGGAAAATCATACCACTTGATTTGGGAGGGTGTGGAGTCGTGGAATAATTGGAGTTGGAAGGGACCCTTAAAGGTCATCTAGTCCAACTCCCCTGCAATGAGCAGGGACACCTACAGCTAGAGCAGGTTGCTTGGAGCTCCTCCAGCCTGACCTTGAATGCTTCCAAGGACAGGGCATCTACCACTTCTCTAGGCAACGTTACAGTACTTCACCATCTTCACCACTGTTAAGGTAAAAAAAACCTTTTTCCTTATATCCAATCTAATCTCTCCTCTGTTCATTTTAAGCCATTTCCCCTTGTCCTGTCACCACAAACCTTGTTAAATGCTGTTCCTTTCCTCTTACAGCCCCCCTTTAGATACTGAAAGGCTGCTACCAGGTCACCTCAGAACCTTCTCATCTCCAGGCTCAACAGCCCCAGCTCTCTTAGCCTGTCCTCATAGTGAATATGTTCCAACCCTTGGATCATTTCTGTGGCCCTCCTCTGGATACTCTTCAACAGATCCATGTCTCTCCTGAACTGAGGACTCCACATCTGGGCCCTGTTCTCCAGAATAAATCCAGGAAGCAGAGTTCTAACAAAGAGGGAGAGCCTTGCAGAAATGCATGACTGGAAGGGATGATGAGGAAATACTGGTTTGCAAAAAAACAGAAAAGTGGGACTTATAGTGTAATGAATGCTTGAGGTACAGAAAGGTTCTAATATGGATCTAAGCACTGCATTGAGATCAACGAGATGAGCGTCATGATTCTGAGCGCTCCTATAGTAAAAGACAGTCAAAAGGAAGATAATTAAAGTGCAATAGAAATACTTGTGGAATAAAAAGGTTTAAAGAATATACTATGTTTCCGGAGAAGGCAGGCATCAGGTGATCAGATCTAGTTATGAAACAGAGATAGCTTTTCCCACTGAGAGCTTTGAGCTTTTGTCAGAAAATCAAATAACATGGATAAAAAAGCTCACAGCTGAATGGTAGTGCTTTTCCAACCAAAATAATGATATATATGTTTCTATTTATTTATTTTTAAGAAATAAAATCAATCCCCAAACACTTTAACTTAGGTTGAAACACGACTTTCATGTAGGAAGAATGTTTAATTTGTTGC